GATGGTTTGATTGATATATTTACACAGTATGGAGATCATCTCTACAGGTAAATCATTATATACAATGGACTCTCATTATTCCAGTCATCAAAACGACATCAAAAAGTGACTATAGAGCGGATTCGTATGAGTGGGAAACGGACGGTACTGTACTGTGACCGTAATCGTACTGTAACCAAATTCTAGTGCCCCATTGGTTCACCAAAATTGTACAGGCCAGGTCCGGTAACTGTGCGGTAACCGTGCGGTAACGGTGTCCCACTCATACGAAATCCGCTCTATTAATGGGGTTGGACATATTAACCATGAACACTTGCTGGGTTCTAGACTTGCCACAAGTCGACCACACTGTCGGGACACTGATATTTCGAGCGACGGAGTCGCGACACGAACGCCGAAGGCGTGAGCGCGAGCGACGGAGTCGCGAGTGGTTCTAAAATTCTAGCTGTAACTGCAGTTTTAACTGGCTGGCCGTAATGTATTAAGTGCTTGGCTGTAGGGCAGGGTTGCGCTTATAAACTACTCCAGCAGACAAGTGATGTGTGATTTGGTTATTTGCTCCAAACTTAGCAAAACGTCTTTTGARACTCCTTCATCAAAACTGAACCACCTCATCATACATGTAATACTATTACAAAGTTGAGGAAGGGATCTTGAAAGGACTTATGGTCATATCAGGGAACCAGCTATTTCACTTTATTGCACTTTCTAAAATATTTAGGATACTACGCGCACTGTGATTGGTCGAAAACCATGTTTGATTACAGTATCAAAACACGCTCGTTTCATATCGTATCAAAAGTCAGAATTTTTTACAATTTTCGTATTCTTTTAATTTTAGAAAAGAAATAAAAGACGAAATTCCGTGTTTGATACTCTGATCAAAACACTTGGGATGTAGGGAGAGCACTCGAAAAGCTGGAAACCACTCCGCTACGCGTCGTGGTTNTTATTTACTTTCAATTAGCAAAAGCTCGAAAGGGATGCTGGTGGACCATGTCCCTTTAATAACTAAATGATTACAATTTTTGGTTGCAGTTTCTGGATGCTCAGAGGATTCACAATTTAACAGCGTATTTACAGGTAGGAATAATTGTAATCGTAATCGTAATCATAATCATAATCATAATCGTAATCATAAAAATCATAATCGTAATCGTAATCATAATCATAATACCTTTACTATTGTATTTCCAGGCATTACATGAACAAGGACTAGCCAATGCTGACCATACAACACTGCTGTTGAATTGCTACACGAAGTTAAAAGATGTTTCAAAATTGGATGAATTTTTCATGGTAAAAGCATTAGCGATTCTCCTTCAAAGTGTTATTACATATGGAAAAAATTACTCTGTCTTTCATTTCTACGCTTAGAACATGTGATTCATTCAGTGTATGCTTTTGAAATTTTATTTTGTTACTTGTACTATGGATTATTTACAACCATTGCCAAAAGATTCTAAAGATGAAAGACCAGACCATTTATTCTTTCATTTCTGTTATCCATTCATTTATTCTCATTATTCTCTTTAACTTTTAGGCAGAAAAAGAGCTAAATTTCGACATTGAAACAGCAATAAAGGTATATGAAATTTTCCATATATGCATAGAATTTTGACAAAAAGAATAATAATAAAAGTTAGGAATAATGATATGGGCTTGTTAATGTAAAGTAACATGCAAAGTCTTTTATTAACTTAATTAGGAAGTATAACAGGTATTTATGATCTCAGGTGTGCCGACAAGCTGGTTACTTCAAACATGCTGTGTATTTGGCAAACAAATTTGAGCAACATGACTGGCAAGTTTTAATTTCTTCTATATGATTCCGAAACTCATTTTTTGTGTCAATAATTTTTTTTTCACTTCATAATACGCTTTTTTACAAGGATCGTGAATTGACTCTTTTACTGGTTCTTTTACTGACTTTTTTGTTGACTCTTTTACTGACTCTTTCAGTGACTCTTTTGATAACTCTTTAACTGACTCTTACTATTTTACCGACTTGTTTGTTGACTCTTTTACTGACTCTTTCACTGTACGTTATTCTGACTCCTTTAGTGACTTTTTCATCCCTTAATTCATTCATCCATTCATGACATACTTGCTTTCGAGCTATTTTCTAATATAATAACTAGCCTTAATGTTAAATGATGTAAACAGGTATCTAAAGATTCAGTTGGAAGACTTGAAGGACTACAACAAAGCGTTGGAGTACATCGGGAAACTTGACTTCTATCAAGCTGAAGGAAACATGAAAAACTATGGCAAAATACTGGTGAATAACGTACCAGACGAAGCTACAACGTTACTGAAAAGACTTTGCACAGGTAAAACAACAGAAATGGGAAATGAATGAACAGATAAATAAATGAACTGCTAGATTAATCAAAGAGTTAAAGGTTGAATTGCTTCCCTAAGGTTTTAATGAGAGGAATAAAGCTAAGCCCGAGGAATTCATACACATATTTGTCCACAAAAAAGCGAAGCTCATTGAATTCTTGGAGCACATGATACAGGTGAGTCAATTCTCTATTTATTGCTTTAATTTTACATCGCTCATGGTCTCACAGTATTAYTTTCCTACTTCAACTCGCTTCTACCGGGAAGCAAACAAACGGTAAAATAAATGAAAGAAGACAAAGCATTAAAAAACAGATCGTAAATTTTTGTTATCTGCGTTCAAGGTTGACCCAAAGTCTTCAAGTTTATTATACAATACTTTATTGGATTTATATCTCAACAATGCAGCACATGAAACTGATATACAGGTACTGTGTTATAAGAATATTCTTTTAATATTTATCGGCGGCGGCGTCCTTTCCCGTAATGACGTCATCATCTTTTCAGGCGAAGTGCAATATGGGATTGACCATCGACTACCTATTCTCATTGATAMAATTCCCGCGAAATATGGCATCGACGCTGAGTCTAAAAGCGCCAAAACACACCCTCACCAATGCGTGCATCCACAGAAACCCCAGGGGACCCTTTCGAAGGCATAAATGCTAGGAAATCCATTAAAACCGCGTCTTCTTCGACAAAGTGCATGGCGCTAGGTCAAAGCTAGTTTTAACCCTCCCTCCTCCCCTTCGGCGACGCCAGCCTTCCACATTGCTCATGCCTTCTCGCTGCCTCGGCAAAGTCGCGTTYCCCATAACTTAACTCASYCGAGAYAATGAKARRGACWTTTTATCAAGGAGAATATAGTACTTTTGACAACCTTTTATTAGGTTGTGATATTTTATAATGTTTGTTCTTTTTAGGGTAAAGTTGCTCATGAACGTAAAGCCTTAGATCTTTTAATGAACACAGAGGCTGGCTACGACTTGGATCATGCGATGGTTCTTGCTCAGATGCATCACTTTAAAGCTGGGATTTTGTACCTTTATGAGAAAGCCAAGTTGTACGTATATCAAATATCTTTAACATGTTCTTCAGAAAACTTTTCCTCAAAGTTCCCTGAGCTATCTTGAAAAGTAGCCGCGCACTTGCATCGAAGCGAGACGACCGTTGAGCTTGCAATGTTAGAAATTCCCTTTCACACCTACAGACAATAGACTAATCCCGCATTCGATCGGATGAACACGAAACAATGGCTGGAGTTTTATCTTTTGTCGATAACTCCAGCCTCAAAATAAAACCATTGTTTCGTGTTCATCCAGGCGAATGCGGGATTGGTCTATTATTCACAGGTATCTATCATTGCACGCTCAATTGTCGTCTCGCTTCGGTAACAAAGGCACGGCTACTTTTCAAGATGGCGAAGGGAACTCATGCGCGGTTTTCTTATGAAACAGAGAAAATCCCCGTCTTGAAGAATTTATGTATGATCAGGTTGAAATCGTTTCCATCTTGTGTTGTTTTAACTGTTTCCCTGATATTTTCTGAGAAGGATTACCACCAGAAAGCAACTCTTAAAAAAATATTTTAAAGCATAACAGAAACGACCGCAAAGGTTCATGGATATAAAGTTTTAACGAAATATTGCTTCACAGATATCAACAGATTCTTCATTATCATATGGAACAAAACGATTACACCAACGTGATCGACACTTGCAAGAAATATGGGTATATATTCAAATTTAGTTTGTGTTCCTTTCATTTGAAATAATATACATGTATGACGTTATTTTTATGTAGGGCGCAAGATTCTGGTTTATGGGTCCAAGCATTGTCGTTTTTTGCACGAAAAGAGACTGATTGTAAAGTACAAATAGTAGAAGTCTTGTCTTGTATCCTTTGTAAATTTAGTTTCTTCGACATTTGAACAAGATCTCTTCGTATGCATTTCGCCTTTGCGGTTACATTTCGGGTTCCCTGTGGAAAGAATAGGACAGGGAGCCCGTTCTAATAACCAGTGTATGTTTATTAGTATTCTTTACTAGAGAAAGATATCGACAGAGGCAATTTAATGTCACCACTTCTTGTGCTGCAAACGCTTGCGCATAACTCTACAGCTACTTTAGCTGTTATTAAGGTATTTGAATATTTGAACGACATATTCCTAGGACTAAATCCTTCATCGTTTAATTCAGAAACGTCAGTAACAGGTTTCTGCTTTCGAACTTAACTGTGTATAACTAGTGGATTAACGACACGTCAGTAGTTTGGCCGCAGGCAGCCCAACCATTACTTTTTTTAATGCTTTGTTTCAATTAATCACTTTTTCTAGGACTACATCCTTCACCGTTTACAGTTAGAAGACGAGCTTATAGCTAAGGTACCGTGAAGTCTGCAAGGCTGTGTCAGTATTGATAATCTTRTTAACTTGAGTTATGTTTTGAACAGGATGAACGATTGATACGACAATATTCTGAAGAAACCGAAAAAATGAGAAATCAGATTGAGGATTTGAAAAAAAGGTATCGATCAAACTAAATCTGATACTCAAACTCAATTCTGCATGGATAATTGTTCATATCACAATCATCCTCATTCAACAATTCATATCATACTAAACATCAACCAGTAATTGTTCGTATCATACCCAGTTTCAACCAAAAATTCTTCATATCACACTCGGCTTCAATCAATAACTTTTCATATCATACTCAACATCAAACAATAATTCTTCATATCATGCTCATTTTCAACCAATAATTTTTCGTATTATACTCAACATCAACCAATAATTCTTGATATCATGCTCAGCTTCAACCAATAATTCTTGATATCATGCTCAGTTTCAAGCAATATTTCTTGATATCATGCTCAGTTTCAAGCAATATTTCTTGATATCATGCTCAGTTTCAAGCAATAATTGTTTATTTACAGTGCACAGGTATTTCAAGGAGCCAAGTGCAGCATGTGTTCAAGACCGTTAGACCTGCCTGCTGTCCACTTTCTTTGTCAACATTCATTTCATCAATTGTGAGTAGAGTAAATACATTAAGTCCGWGAAACACAAAGAGGATATTGCATAGGCGCGCAGAGATATAGAAGATATTACATGGGMRCGCGGATTTTATCTTCGARTGTTGAAAAGATCTCTCAAGAGATAGAGCGTAGCGAGATTTTCAACACGAGTAGATAAAATTCGTATCTCCAAGCGACCATGTAATATTCTGTTTATCACATAACTACATATGAAAGCAAATTATGTCCTTTTTCATTACTTCCACTATATAGAAAAACCTCGAATGTGTTATTTTCACTATGATAATTAGAAATTTGATATTCTTTTCTTCATTCTCGCGCTTTTTCTTCGCCGTTCATTTGATGTGTCTCGCGTAATTTTAAAACAGACGTTACATCGTAAAATAATAAACGTCTTTTCTGTTATAGATGCTTTGAAAGTTACGCTGAAAATGACAATGAATGTCCCATATGTGCTCCTGAAAACAGGTCTGTATATATATGTTATATATATATACTGCCCGAGGTCTTGACAGTACGGATACCGGACCGAAAAAAATTATACGGTGATATTTGATGGATCTCTTTCCATCCTCCAAACATTTTTCTTCACGTCTCCCCGACCTCCGATCGTTCCTACGATCGCCACACCGTGCGTCCCTCCGTTCCTCCGTCTATCCCGTTCTACGACCGTCTCTACGACCGTCCTTCCCTCCCTCCGTCCTTTCTTTCCTGAGTTTTCTCATCCATCCGTTTCTTCTCCWATCCGTCCATGCCTTCTTTCATAGTGTGCCCATCCATCCCCYATCMATTCCTTCAAATTTTCATTCTTTCATTTAATTATTGTGCAGGAAAGTACTTGACATAATTCGATCCCAAGACCAAACAAAAGATCTTCACGAACAGTTCCACCATCAGGTATTCCTAAGATACTCCTGGGGTTCCTGTGTAGAAAGTCACCTGATCACTCAGGAGCCTTAATCACTATTTATTGATTAAAATGTCATTTCTATTATCATAGTTATTTTCACGTGAATTGCAAGGAAGAAACCAAAAAAAAAAAAACAGATTTCATTGTCACTCATTTCCTCCCTTTTACAATTCAATGCCGTTATTTAATCACAATTCTGACCTCTTGGTTCATTTCTTTGCAATTGTTTTGCAGTTAAACATATTCAACAGTTAGGCGGCGTTTRCACGAGCAATTTTTCCTTGACAAGTYTCTTGACAAGGAAAAATTGCCCGTGTGAATGGTCAACAAGTTTTCCTTGACAATTCTTCCTTGACAATATTTCTTTGCTAGTGTAAATGAAAAACAAGTTGTTTTTTTTTGTTGATATAGGCTTTGACATTTAGTGTTCGAGAGACTTTCTCTACATTGTAACGTAAAGACGGACTTATCCGTCCAGTATGTCTTTGTCTTTGCCGCCATTTTGTTTGTGACAGCTGTCTGTCATATTGATATATTTACCACATGTTAGCAGACATACTTTCTTGAAATGATTGTATCATCGTGTTATTTTATAGTTGGAGCGAGCATCTGATGGGTTTTCAGTGGTTGCTGACTATTTTGGTCGAGGAGTTTTCAATAAGGTATTATAAAATAACTATTATATAACGCACGCGCTGATTGGTTGAAATGCGCAAACATAGAAACACGGCTTCCGAGTGAAATGCTTAAATAGTAAAATTCTAATGGTTTTCTAAATGTTTCATAATTCAGTTTTTCTATTCTTTTTCATTCATTTTTTCCCTTTTCAATATCAGGTTACTTTGGTTAACAGCAGCCAAAGACGCGGCTCGGCGACTCACATGACCGCAGAAGATCGTCGTTCTCATCTTTTACATTGAGACCACAAAATTATGTGGACAATCATAAATATTCCGATCGTCAGTGACCGTTGTTTATAGATGAATATTCCAAATGAAACTTCATGGGGTTCCGAAAAAGTACTAAGAGTAAAAAAAATCGATATGTAAATTATGATTTTAATAAATAAATAAAAATCTTTAAAGGACCTATCTTTCGTTCTTTCCTTTTTTAGCGCCGTTCCTTTCATCCTTCTTTCCTCCATTACTTCTTCCCTATTTTCCTTTAATTCTTTCTTTAGCCTTCCTTGTCCCCTGCGTTCCATTTTTCTTTTCTTCAGCCCCCTTCATTCCTTTCTTTTTCGATCCTTCCTCCCTTTTTAACTTCCTTACTTTCAGTTTTTACTACACTTTAAAACTTTCTTTTCAGTTCTTTTCCAAAGAAAATTTTAAAAGCGCCAGTAGGGTACTTGAAAAAAAAAGTATGGACTTGATTATTTTAATTAAAGTGCAAATTAGATTTAATCAATGTTTCAAAACATGGTGGCAACTTGCTGTGTTGAATAACGAGAGCTAAGAATGTCTGATACGCCAAGAGTTATATAATTGCAGCTCGTACGGCAGAAACTAAAACGCAGAGCTCTGTGTCTATCTGAAAAGCTAAGTAGAAAAGCACATCAACAATGGGTTTTAGGTTCTAAAACATTTCATTTGGATTGGAATGACTCAACAAATAGGAATCAACGTAAGTACCAGTTTACAGCTTAATGACTCTAGTTAACTATCTACTTCAATATAATGTAGGGATTTGTGAACAAGAATTCACTGGAAAAAATCGCGCGCTTTAAAGGTTGTAAATTTGATGTAAATATGATGTAAGTGTCCAAAATGATGTAAATTTGATGTAAATCATTTC